ACGGTCAGATGATAAATTACTTCAAATATGTTAATGACAACATAAACTACTGCCCAGATGTCACGTTTCAAGTCCTTTCTCAACAGCGCTAGAAATTGAAAGGTATCATGCTTCTGCTCCAACTTCTAAAAAAGGAAAATCTCATCTCTATTTCCTCGTCTTTCCCAGCTGGACTTTTGGGGAACACATTCTGAAAACCCTTACCAATAAACCTGGCTCTGAATTCTATCAACCAAGAATTGTCCCACACTCTGATCACCCAAAGTCAGCTCATTCTCTTGATTACTTTAATGAGCAGTGGAATGAAATGAACACCAGGCAAGGGCCTCACGATCACTGAGCCCCCGGTGTTTCTCCCCACAGATGCCCCCAGACCCCTCCCAGCCCTTGTTTACATTCATGCCTTACTGCATGTGAATTGGCATTTGGACTCCTCTAACTTTTTCTATACTAAGGAAGATAGGAGCTGACCTCTCTTGTTGCAGAATGTGGACTTTACATTCAACAGCAGGGGATGAGAGCCATTTGGTAGACAGCAGGAGTCCTGTCTAGATAGCCTGGGGTTCCAGTCACTGCAGCCTTCCAACCTTACATTTTGCCAGTTGGGTGCTCTGTGACTTAATCTGAGGGCAGATTGACATAAAAGTCCAACCCCGCAGTGCTGCCCGGGCACTCGCAATTCTACCAGGCACATCTTGGACAAGAAGGTGCTTGCCTGGAGCACTCATGGGGAGCTCTCCTCTTTCCACTGTTTTGCACTGTGTGCTCTGTTGGCAACTGGTAACAGCTTCACTACTTCGGGTGGCTGCTTATGGGGTAAAGTTTACTGGGCACGCATTGAATGCGGGCATGAGACCAGTCCCCAGAGCCTAGAGCAGGCCGTCTGTGTACAATCTAGGAGTTCATAGTTTTGCTTGCAAATCATTACACCTGCCCATAGTCATCCTGCATTTTGGGGAGAGGGGCTAAAAAGGAAACCCTTATCAGGCGCCTAGAACGTCATTGCTTCTCTTTTAGGATTTGTTTGAACGCAGACCTGTCTCCCACAGACAATTTACATCTCTTATCTGATCATCCACTCCAGACGCAAGGTTGATTGACCGCGTCTGCCCGTGTCCATGGCAATGGTGTTTAAACCCAAGCATAGATCAAAGCTCTGGAGGCGGGGGGGGGGGGGGGGGGGGGGGAGAAGGTTGTTGGTTATAGGGTCCGGGTTCTTTTGGCCCCAAGCGGCGTGTCCCAGAGGTGGAGACGGTGGGGCTGGGAGTTGCCACCATCTTTAGAAACCCATTGTCAGGGCCAGAATAATTTCCTGAGCAAACCCTAGACACCACCACCCCCCGCTCCCTCCCCCCCCCCCCCCACCACGATTAACTCGAGCAAAGGGGAGATTCGTGACCAGGCGCTGATGAGGAGTGGATAGCGCCAGGGGGCTCTCCTCTCTGTCTGAAGCCGAAAGGAAGGGGGGCGGAGGGAGGGCGGCGAGCGGTGAGCACAAGCCAGTAAACCGGAGCGTGGATCCCCTCCCCTTCAAGAGAAATTCAACCGGAGCCGCAGAAGCTGCGACACGGATGAGCCGGATCCCCTAAGCCTGCCAGGAAAGCTGATTCCCACCCCACCCCCACGGCTCCCAGAGGAGAGACCGGTTCATTCCACCACCCCCGGCCCCCGGCCCCGCCAGCCCCTGGACGTTGGCTCTGCTCTGCGGGTGCCCCCCACCCAGCCGCCGGGCGCCTGGGACCCGGTAGGAAAAACTGCGGTGCAGTGAGCCCGAGGCAAAGGGTGGGGGCAGCCGTTTAATCACAGCTCGCCTCGCCTCCATTAACTTGTGTTGATATTAAAAAGAAATCAATCAGTGAAAATGAAGCATTGGCCGTGAATATTTCTCTTTCTCACGTGTAAAAGCAAGGAGCGAGGCGGCGGGGGAGGGGAGGCGGACCGCGCCGGCGACTGCAGAGGTTCCTCCCAAGCGGAGAACCGCAGCGGCGACTTAACTTTCTGGCACTGGATGGCGTGGAGGAAATGCCGCAAGCCTCTCCCTGGGGGTGTCCTTAGTCAGGAGGAGGAGGGGACAAGGCTGGAGTTGTTGGAAGCGGCCAACTTCTCCCAGGCTTGAGCCTCGGTTTTGCTTTCGCTGGGCATATTTGTGCCTAATAGAATGTTTATGGATCGTTCGGCTCTGTTTCTGCTGCGTAGCCCAAACAAATCGATGCGGTGTTAGAGACCGCGCTGAGGGGTGGGGCAGCCTTGGGGGCCACCACGTCCCCACCACGTGGATGCCCGCGCGCCGCGTGCTCTTCACCTGCTCAGGCGCACGGGCGGGCGCTGGGCGCTGCTAGAGGCGGTGCAAGTTGCGCGCATTCCCGAGGGTAGAGCTGGCTCCTTTCCGCCCCCTCCGCCCTCGGTTCTGAAGTCCCACCCCGACTTCCTGCCCCCCAGTTCGGCCAGCGCTCGGATCCCCAGCTCCGCCGGCCCCGGGCCTCAGCCCCTCGGCGCCGGCCCTTCAGGGGCGGCGGGGGGAATTCAGCGCACAGCGCGGGAGACAGGAGGGGGCGCTCAGGGCAGGGCCGGCTGGGCGGCCCCGAGTCCCCGAGCCCAGGCAGGAGGGAGGCAGGCAGGCGGCGGGGCAGAGAGTGGGGGAGCCTGGTGCGCGCAGCCCAGGCGGCCTCCCTGCCGCCCGTTAGTGCGAGAGGCTGCCGCCGAGGCCGCGGAGTTATTTGCTCAGTCGCTCCCCCTCCTGCACCTTCCGCCCTCCCTTTCCCCTGACTCCTTCTCGGAACGGGTTCCCGCCACCGCTGCGGCCGGCTGGGCTCGGCCCCCTCCCGGCAGGCGCGCACCGGGTGAGTCAGAGGTCTAGTAGGGCCTCGCCCTTTGCCACCCGCTGCCAGTTCCCCGGGTGCCAGTCCGGGGCTCCGACGGGAAGCCGGAGTTCCCCGCGGTTTGCGATCGCCTCTTCGAGGGCCTGGAGGATATCCACCCAGGGCGGGTCCCAGCTCCGCGTCTCACAAGGAGGTCCCACCCCGGGTGCCAGGCTGCCTGCGGCGTCGTAGTGGGTGACCGGCCCCGCGCTCCGCGCCTCGGGGCTTCTCTAGAAGTGACGCAGCGCGGCCCGGGGCTGGGGTGGGAGGGGGCTCTGCGGAGAGCGCGAAAGGCAGGTGGCAGAGCGGGAGTGGGTTCGAGCGGGTGTCGCACACACGCGTACACTCCGCGTAGCGCTCGGGGACAGATGTGCGAACATCTGGGGTAGGAGATAGCCCCTGAGTCTTCACGACCCCTCCCGCTCGCAAAGCACACGGAACCTGAAGTTCGGTGTGTGTGTGTGTGTGTGTGTGCGCGCGCGTGTGTGTATGTGAGCGCGCGCGCGCGGGCCGGTGTGTGCCCCAGTGTGCGCGCGCTCGCCGGGGCCTACTAGAGTCCGTGCCTGAATACATAATATACCGTGGGCATCTTCATCGCGCGCGCGCGCACACATACACACACACACACGCACACAGCGAATCACACAAACATATATAATTTATGTAGCATCTAGGTCTGTGGGAGGTAATTTAATTTCGCTTCAAGCTGGGAACTTAGAATAAGGCAAGAGGGGATGGGGACACAAGTGAGACCTGCGCCCATCTCTCCGACACGATTTGCAGCGGCCCTGAAGACCAGTTCTGGCAGAGGAGGAGGGGCAGCAAACGTGTGGATTTGGATAGGAAAGGAATTCCTCAGTCTTCCTTTCCCTCAAATAAACACTCAAGCTTAAATGGGGAGTGTTGGCGGTGAGGGCCAGAGCACCAGACGCACAGCTTCCCCTTGGGGCTCCCACAGGACCCCCGAGGCCGCAGTGATGGAGGGGAGGTGCCCGGTAAGCCGCAAGGGGTTAGCCCTACCACTGCCGCAGGCCAGCCTTAGCCTTGTAAGTGCCTTCCGGTAAGGGCACTTCACGAAGGCTTTATCTCTCCTCTTTCTCTTTTCCCTGTTTCCTCCAGAGATGGTTTCCCCATTCCCAATCACCTGTAGCAGCTTCCAAGAGTTTTGTCGGATTCCCGACACTGTTCTCAGAGGGAGAGAGGCTCACTCTGGGGAGAGTGGTGTGGGGAAGGAAGGACAAGCCCCACTGGATTCCCTGCATCCAGAAATCCCTTCTCAGGCCGTGTGCCCCTTGCCAGCCCTCCTCCCCGCTGCCAAATACCGGCCCTAGACTGCTCTGGGCCTTGCAGTCCTTATCTCTGCAGTATGTCCACACACCCTTTTTGGCAGTGGTCGAGAACAAATTCCACTCAAAAGTTTCTAACCACTTCACAAGAGTAAGAGACCTTCGAAGGCCATGCAGTCTGTTTTATCTAATAATAATTTTTAAAAGAATATGATTTACTTTCCCAGAAAACACATGGATGCAAGAAAGAGAGCGGGGACGACCAGCCGCCTCCGTGGCCAGCAGCGCCCAGCCCCAAGCCCCTAGCTCAGCTGCAGGCCAACTTGTTCCATCAGCCTGCACCCTAGGATTCTGAGGCGTATCCACGCATTCTGCAAAGAATCCACAGCATTGGAAAACCAAAACTAGACTCTTGGGTTTCCCAAGCTCTTCAGTTAACATTGCTCAATGTAGCTAAGTGGAGAGAATGCAAATGATTTATATTTCACTGGCTAGGTTGAAGAAACTCAAGGGAGATGTGTTCTGCTTCAAGACAGGGGGAAAAAAATCCCAAAAACTGTAATGCAAAAGCTTTGTAGTATTTTTAAACCTTTGATTCAGTCCATATGTGACATCTGAACACCGCCAAATTCTGTTTCAAAACACACACACACACACACACACACACTCCTAGCAGGAGAGAAAAGTTGGGTTTTAGGAGCGGTGGTGGTGTAGGGCCGGCCGGCTGGGATCTCTCTTTAAATTATTTAGTATAGAGAGAGCCTCCTTCTATGCTATTCCGTGGGGCCCGTATAAGCCGTTGCTTTTAAAGGGAAAAGCATGTTGAGATGAACAGAAAAAACTTTCAGGGGCTTACCTGGTTGGCCTCTCACTTCGTGTCCTGAAAAGTAGAGAGCTAAGAAAACCCAGGTGAGAAGAAACATATCCATTTTGGAGAAGGAGGCTTTCTCCAGAACTGGGTTTGTAGATTTCTTGTATAATTTTAAGTCTTTGTGTTTCTCTCCCTTGCGTTCTTCCTTACAGTGTCTTCTGCAAAGGTTTCTAATGGTCAGTGTTTCCCTCCTGGGTCCTGGCGGCCCGTCTTCACCTTTATTCCTGCTGGATTCGCACCTCACTAAGAGGAGGGTGGCTCCTGAAATCAGCAAAGCGGGAGCAAGCTGGGAAGAGGGGACGGGTTTCCTCTCTTAAAAAACAAAACGCTTCTGTGTCCTCTCCAGTTCCTCAAAGTATCATTTCCTTTATCCTACAACATCACGAAGATTTCCCGAAAGCCAAGCGTAAAAAATAATAAGAATAATAAAAAGAAAAGCCCAGACTTGCCTTGGGCATCACACGTCCCCAGGCAGCTGTGTGATCTCAGAGGCGTAAACGGACACACATCCCCCGGCACCCGGGACCGACACGCGGGCGGAGGCACCCAACGCCGCCGGACGGCCGGAGTGCGAGGCGGCCGCCCAGCTCCTGCCCTCGCCGGGTTCCCCTAGCGGGAGCCTCCCCAACGACTACCCCCGCTCGGCCAGCCTGACGAGGGGAGTCAGGGGAAAGAAGCGGCGGCGGCGGCGGCTGTTGCTGCGGCGGCTGCTGCTGGCGGGGCGGCGGCGGCGGCTGGGATTGCCTGGGAGCGAGCGAGCCCCTCTCCGAGTTCGCTCGCGCCCGCCCTCACCTCCACCTCGCCCCGCGCCTCGCCGAGGTCTGCGCGTCTGAGGAGGTGCCGGGGGCGGGCTGCGGGCTGGTGCCTCGCTCGCCTTCTCTGCTTCCCCTCCGGCTCCCCCCAGCCTTTTCAGGCCGAGCAGCATGTGGATGTCAGAGCCGCGGCAGAGCTATCCGATTACGCGCCGGCTCAGGGCCCGCCCCTTCTGTGTTCCTGATTAAAGAGGCAGCCGCGGAGCCGCGCGGCGCACAGCTCAGCGCCACGGCACCCGGCTCGGGCGGGGCGGCGGCGGCGGCTTTCCCCCCCGGCCCCCCCCCAGCCGCGGCCCGATCAAAGTTGAGGCGGCTCCCGTCCAGCCGCTCCTCGCCCACCCGCACCTCCCGCCCACCCCGGGCTCCTCCGCGCCTGGCTGCGCCCGGCCGCCCGTGCGCAATGCCCGGGAGAGGCAGCGCCCCGGGGCACCTCCGGGGCGCACTGCCCTTGGCCGCGTCGTCCCCGCCCGCGGGAGACTCCGCAGGAAATGGGGGGGGAATCCCTGTTTCCCCCCCAAATTCCCGGGCTCCGAGGCCACACACGTAGAAGCCAGCACAATGCCACGCGCAAGGGCGTTACAAGAGGGTGGCGTACGGTGTTCGGTGTAGGGAACCAGGCGGCAGCTCAGCCATGCGTTCGCACAGGCAGCAGTGCGTGGCGGCGACACACGCGGTCAGCCCCGGCTGAATAAAACCCCAAACACTCGTGCGTTTACTCCTCAGGGCCTTTGTTGTGTCCCAAACAGACTCCTCTCCTCGCTGGGTAAGGATTTCGTTCTCCCGGCGCACCTAACTTGTAACTACCAGAAGAAGAGAGAGTCTCTCTGCAAAGAATTTCTTCAGGTAATTAAATTGGATACCCCCCAACCGTCCCCAAAAGTACGGGTACGTGAAGGCTTCTCCTCAAAATGCTACTGTAACTACTTCTATTCACCTTTTCCCCATGGAGATGTGGTCACAGCGCGCAGAGAAAGAAAACAGCATTATGCCAACTATTTTTAAATGGAGGTGTGAAAACTGTTTAGAGGGAGTTGTAAGCTAACAGCTGGGGAAACACTTGTATCTTTGTTTCTGAGGATGGCTTTGTGGATTCCAAACTGTCTTGCTTCACTAAGCACCTATTACTACATTATCATAAAGGCTCTAACAACAACAGTCTAAATAACACTGCATATACCTTCTCTGCCACTCTGCAGATTAAGAAAAATAAAGTTTTGGTGACAAGAAGCACACACACATCTGACTATCCCATTTATTTCTTTGCTTGTACTTGTGGATTCTTCTGGGTGGTTTTCCTCCTTATCTGGACTTGCCATTAGCTTTGTTTATCACTTTTAGTGTTTGAAAAATCTGTAACTCCCACTTAACTGTTATTTACACTGAGATAACCAAAACAAAATTGAATCAGAAGTGATTTGCAAATAGTTGAGCCAAGCCATGGAGGGATTTTACAGTGCTGTGTAAATCCACGGGCAGCATATCACACTGTTAATCTTAGATGCCTGGTTTGAAAGGGCATTTAACAGAGGCCTAGTGAGTTCTTCCAGGGAGCATATCCCCTGGCTGGCCTAAAGGCTACCTTTCATTCCTTTCATCCCCACCCCCTCTCTCTTTCTTCTCGCCCTCCTTCTTTCCTTGGCTTGAGAGCACATCCACATTATTAAAAACTCCAGATTTACTCCCCCCCCCCCCGTTTAAACATCAACCATAAAGAAAGACCGCCCCTCCCCAGTATTTAATGGGACTTCAGCAGAGATCCCGGCTTCTATCATTGCCAAGATGCTAACCTAAGGACAACTAACATTACTATCTCTAGTGACACAGCCCAGATGAAGAAAATCATTTAGTATCACCTCCTCCCACGACTCACCAGACGTGCCAAGCCATTCATGCTAGCAAGTGCCCCACATGAAAGAATCCTGTTTCTGAAAGCATTACAGCCAGAGTTCAGGTGAATGGCATAGGGAAGAGGAGAGAGAGAGAGAGAAAGTTACACCGAAACCCATTGGGAAACCATAAGAATGTCAACTCTGGGCTCCTGCTCTTGGCATCTTAGGATTGGGGGGCCCCCTCAGGCAGCTTCAAGCGTCCTCAGTTTGGTAGGGAGAAGGGTCGGTTTCAGTGTTCTGTTCCTGGACCTGATTCCCAGCATTATGGATTTTAATTTTTTCAGAGGTGTCCTAAAGAGGGAGCTAACTTACTTCCTGGCAGTCCTCAGTACAACTTCTGCAAGACTTCTCATCAATCCCCTTGAGTGAAGTCCTGATTTCCGGCAGTTGGGTAGCAGGTGAGTCTGGTTCAGAGCCCTGGGGACTCCAAGCTGCCGGACCATTTGTAACCCTCTAGGGGGCAGCACTCAATAAATAATGCAAATCCTACCTGCAGGAGCACTTCGGGCTGTGGTGCTTTTACTCCCCGGAGCTCAAAACCCTTTATCAGACCAGGGAAGAGTCAGAGTGAGACCAGATCTCCCCAGCCCACTCTGAACAAGAGCCCACGGGCCCAGGGAGCACTTAGAATTTCTTTAACCCAGGACTAACCAGGAACTAAACACAAATCCCACATGTGCCTGATGGAAAATAAACCTCTGGGGAAATTCTCCAGACTGGGACGGGCTCAGACCTGCCAGCCCATTTTTGTCTAGACTTAGAATCTCAGGGGTTTGGCAGCAGTTGGTTCAGTTTCTACCAGAGGTTCAGGGGTGAGGAGCCAGGCTCCATACTGTTCATTATTTTGTGAGTCCATAAACACTGTCTACTAAAGGACAAGTAGCATGGATAGAGACGATGGGCTTGTTAACAGAAACATGGAACCAACCAGAAAACAGCTGACTAGTGAGGTTGAGATTCCTGTCAGCGTCACTGACTCACCTGGGACATTGCACATCATTATCCTTAATTGTGAAATAATAATAGATAATCCCATCCTACATTCCATTCCTTTGACAGGAAGGGATGTGGGGAACATAAAACAAATTTGTAAAAGATGCTAAGAGAAAGCTGTAACCTGGCCACACCCCAGTGGAAAGATGGGTGTTCCCAGCTAGACAGCCCCATACCCAAGGGCGAGGGCGCATCAGAATCACCCAGAGCAAGTGTTAAAAATTCAGATCTCTGGGCACCATCTTCCTGCCAATCAGGTTCCTTGGATCTAGGGTGGTGTCTGGGAAGCTCTACTTTTTTTTTTTTTTAAGATTTTATTTATTTATTTGAGACAGAGAGAATGAGAGACAGAGAGCATGAGAGGGAGGAAGGTCAGAGGGAGAAGCAGACTCCCCGCTGAGCAGGGAGCCCGATGCGGGACTCGATCCAGGGACTCCAGGTTCATGACCTGAGCCGAAGGCAGTCGCTTAACCAACTGAGCCACCCAGGCGCCCCGGGAAGCTCTATTTTTAAGACACATTTTAGGTGATTCTGCTGCAAATGCTCAACAGGCCAGCCATTGGAAACCTCTGTTCTGAGGTGTTATATTTACACATAGCCTTCGATGTATGCACTTCCAGCGAAGGATACCTGGATAAGTATTCCTCCACATTTTTTCTCCAGGCAGTTGTCAGACAGGGGGCAGATGTTTCAAGGAAAACATTGGGAAAAGCCTCCCAGAGCATTTCTCGTACAGTGCCAGAGCAGTGGCATTCCCAGCTTTACCTTGTGACATTTATTTAGCAGCAACAGCCAAGAGCCTTTTGAAAACACCGAGAGCCTCTACCTCTCAGGGGCGGGAGGTTTGCGGGAACATGTTCCAAGGGCCAGCTGATGGGGTTTATGGAGCTGGATCCAGCCCTTTCAGCACCAACCCACTTAACCATTGGTTGTTACTAGAGGTTTGTTTCAGGTATGGTTTTCCATCTGTGTTCATCACATTGTACTTATTAAATGCTCATGGAAGCATGACTATGCAGGAGGTGTGCAAGCAAATAAGACATTTGGGTCTTGCCTCCTGGGAATACGGAATCTAAAGGCTCCAGAAGTTTCATGCTTCCGCAATAGATGCCACCTGTCACATGGTGCTTCCCCTTATCTGAGCACTACCATCGACAAGCTCTCACCCTGAAAGGGGGAGATACGAGCCATAATTGCGTCTTAATCTGTAATTTACTACATTGCCCTAGTTAATATTTAGCTACATCTGTCTCAGAGGCAAAGCTTCAGTTAAAAGTTAATAAGTCCTCATTTTTTATCCTCTCTTTTGTTTGAAGTGAAGTCCAGGTTTCTGGTCAGTAGAGTTCCACCCCCCCCCACCCCCCGCCGCCACTCCTTAAACAACATTTTTCTTTTATTCAATACATTTGAATACTACTTAATAGTTTCTACTTGATCTGACCTGTGAGGGGTTCCCAGAATCTTTACAGATTTCCATAAAATATCAAAATCTCCTTTACTCTAAATTGCGTCTATCTCTCATCTCTTTCTCGGACACGGACACTAGATCAGGTAGGAAGGAACCTTATGGACAAAAAAAAAAAAAAAAAAAAAAGAGCAAAATGTGCAAAATTCATTCAAATATCCCTGGAATCCTTGGCAAAGGAAACCAAAGGAGGTACATTGCTCTCTCTACTCTGCTCGGCTCAAGCATGAGGTGGATCTCCCTCAGCCACACTGACTTTTGTACATTTGACACATCGGTGCCTCAAAGAGGTCCCCATCAACCCTTCTCTTTAGAGCAGCATCCTCCCATACAACTTTCTGCAGTGAAGGAGATATCTGTGCTTTTCACATGGCGAATGAGCATTTGAAATGTGCCTCGTGTGACTGAGGAACTGAATTTTAAATTGTATTTAACTTTATTAAACATGTTTCTGATCCCTTCAAAAAATACAGATTCCATTTGTGTTTAACAGATCCCACATTGGACAGCTCAGCTCTAGATAATCAAATACCAGAGCTGGAGATTTCCCATGGGAGCCCATAGACATGCACACCCATGTCTATGGGCTACTTTACTTGTTCACCAAAAAGGGAATCCTAGTATGGGCAGAAGCATCATTTGAAAATGTTTGGTGTCTATTTGGCAAGGAGAGAAGGGCTGGATCACATTATTATCTATCATCCTGTGCTCCGTCTGTGCTCTCTTGGATGACTTTTCCAGAGCACTCACTGGGAATCAGATACTCCACAGTGCTCCCCAGGCTCC